TAATAGTAATAGTAATAGTAATAATAATAATTATAATAATAATAATATAATAATAAACTAATAATAATAATAATAATAATAATAATAATAATAATAATAATAATAATAATAATAATAATAATAATAATAATAATAATAATTCAATATGGGCAATTTGGAAATTGTATAAAAGAATTAAGGGCAAAAAGGTAATATACTTGGTCAACATAAAAGAGCTTTTAAGTTAAAAAAAAAAAAGCTCCCCCCCCCTAGCTTTTAGCTTTTGGCTTAAAATAAGTCATTTTTGACTTAAAATAAGTCACTTTGATAATTGCCAAACACTCTAATAAGTCAAAAACTGGCTTTTAAGCCAGTTTGACCAGCTTATAAGCCCATCCAAACAGGCTCTTAGTCCCTATGTTTTTGTATCTAAATATTTGTAGCGACCATATTTCCTGGTCGTAAAACTTTTGAGTACAAGATATCTGGTCTCTATTGTTTTTTATTTACAATAATTCTGGTCCCAAATAAATATATTACTTTTTGTCATTTTTATAAAACATACACACGCAATTATAATATATAAACAATGAATGTAGGCAGAATATAAATAATATCATATTTTCATACATACAAAAAGTAGATCACCATTCCATATGTAGAACCGTACTATCAAATATAAGTTACCAACATTCATTACAAAAAATAAGAAATTTGTCAAATAGTCCCGACTAAATTTGATAAGCAACTTAAAGTCTTCAAATCATGCATCTTGACTTGTAAACTCATCAAGTCTTCAAGACCTATAAAAAAGCATACAATAGATTTTCTCAAAAAATTATAAAGAAATACTAGAAGAATTAAAATTTAACATGGTTTAGACCACATAATATATCCAAATTTCAACCTGTATGTTCATCTCCCGCTCAAGTATTTAAAGCAAAGTAAATATATTGATGTGCCAACTATATAAGCAAATGTAGTTTCAAATTAACTACCTAGATTTCAATAATATAATTAGAGTACAAATCATTTTAAGGGCTCTAAACTAGTATAGTCATTGAATATGATTCTTAAGAATTCCTATACAGAGTATGAAAATTTAAACGTTCATTCAGATCAGTTTTCTTTCATGAAGTAGTTCAAGAATATCGACTTTGCTTTAATTTAAGAAATACACACCTCGATAGTTTAACATTTAAAAAGATAAAATCAAATACGCAAAATTAAAGCAACTAGTTGATACTTCAAGAAATCATTATCACAAGTATTATCACAAGCAAGGGAAACAATACTTCTGAAAAATAGCGAAATTTTATTATTACAACAAACTAGCATACATTGTTTGTTGGCTCCTTATATCCATCACTTCTTCCTCCTCATTTTGTGCTTCCACTTTTTCCTGCCAACTATCTTCGAGTTTTATTCTCCTGAATCATCTATTAACCACAACCCACCCTCCATAAGCAAATAACTAGAAGATGAAAATGTTTGGAAAATAACAGAACACAAACTGATGGAAAATTTGATTCTTTTAATTACTTATGGTTATCCCATTTCATATATCACTTACACTATTAGGCCAAAAGTTCTTTCACTTTCATTCTCTTAGGATAGATTGTAATTAAATTCATGCCCCCACAATATGAAAATGACCTAAAGAACAAATAAATAATATTTACTTAATAATTTCTCTAACAATTAGTAATCTAGAATGTCATGTTTTGGTCACCTCGCATATCTTTTTTTCTTTTTTCTAATAGATAATCAAAATATTGAACCATAACTCAAGTACGCTTCAACAAGAGGTTGAGTGTGTTTGGCAGCAAGGGAATTCAAGATTGTTGAGAAACTTAATCTAATGAGTCAACAACAATATGTGAATCTCATGTTTTCTATTATTATGATAAAAAGGACCAGCAACAACTGGCCCTGAACAACTTCATTAGCTTCTTAACATGTAGTAGAATACAGAACGTCACCAAAAGATCTCCAATTCTTCCATCAGTTAAGGAATAGATAGCACTAGAATTATCTTTATATCAATGACTAAAACTATGGTTCTTTTAGTATTGAGCAGGTGAGGATCTACTAAGGCTTTATGTGTCAAACATTACACTAGAAAATGAATGTCTAGCTCAAATTATTAACACTGCAGAAAATCTCTGGCAAGACGGTGTAACTAAACATAAGAAAGATACAACTTATAATTGGGATCAAAGTGCCAAGCACAAGTAGATTTGTTACTATACAATAGAGAAAGTAGTACTTATGAAATTATGCAAGGATTGACTAAACAAAAAAAAGTTCAAACCACTAGAACAGGCCACACAAGATGCAAGATACAATTACTCAATGAGTTTAGTATAGATGTCGCAACTCAAGTCAACAAAAAACAATTCTTCCACATAAAAAATAGCTCATAAAATAAATAACCAGTTAATGTTGATCATTAAATACTATGAAACATGACATTGACATTTAGCATGATTTAGAAAACACAATAGATCTATATTCGCCTTATATGTTAATATTGACGTATTTATAACTCTGTTTTTAGCAGTACAAAGGTGTCATTCATTTGAAATGCATCTTTGGAATAACTTGATCTAATCTCAAAATTCAAACTAAAATATATAATGATTTTCTACATTGTTCAGTCAAATGCAAAAAAATAAAACAAGAGTAAATCTCAGAAAATGATCAAGTCATTGAATTCAATGCCTAAGGATAGAAGTCCATGTTCGGCATATACAAATTATAACCATGGCTCCCAACTATAAATACAAAATATAAAAATAGAAAATGGCACTAGCAACTTAGTGATTGTTTCTTTCATATCGATATGTGATCTTTTTCTATACCAATCTTTTGCACTTTCAGAACTCTTCCATGCCCCCCCCTTACAACAATAAATTCTCCCACAAAGTTTAAATAACATAGTAGGATAACTCAAAGTCATCCTTTTCTGCTTCTACATAACACTCTAGTTATATATATATTGGTGTATCACAAGACAATCTCACATATATTTTGCTAGAACTTTAAGAATCGAAGTAGATAATTGCAGCAATCTTTATATATTTTAGCTTACTTTGACCTGAGCTTCATTTCTTCCTTTTGGTTGTGGCATTAAGGGGAGTAGAGCTTAAGAACTCTATGTCAAAGTAACCTCTTAAGTAATGGTAAAATCATCACAATTAGTGTATCCCTTCAAGTTAATCAACTCACATTCTATTGTTCTCTTCACCAAATTTTAAACAAATCCCAATGTAATAAAAGGAATCAATAATTCAAATTCCTGGCATATGTTCCATATATTTAGTATTTTTCATACAAAAAAAATAAAATAAGTTCTATAAAAGTTTAAAACAAACATGAAAAAAATAAAAGATTAAGAATTCAACAATGAGTAATAACCTGGGCTTTAAAGTGGTGTGAGCTATATATAATGTAACTAGAAATATACTTCTGAGATAGACTAAACATTTGAATTTCACCTTCATCATTGTCATAATTAGCATGTATCAACAAAGGTCTATTTGTAGTTGTCATACATCGAATTCTCCTCCCCAAAATTAATCAGTAAAATTAATTATTGTACTCTGATATCAAAATTATCATTACTGAATGTAAGCATCAACAAGTGAAAAATCAAGCACAAAATAAATCGAATAAGATTAAAAAAACACTAAAAGAAATACAAAAACTGTAACCCTAGAAAAATATATTCTTATACAGTAGTATATGAGTGTTGATCCCTAAAATTGAAATTTAATAATCGAACATTCAATTACCTAATAACTAATGAGAATCCATGGTATAATTTCTAATTAATCGAAGAGATAGAAAAAGAGAGAAAATAAACCTTAGCATGCTACGAACTCCCACCATAGAGATTTAGGTTACTAGGTTTCTCAACTATCAATGGAGTTTTCAGGTGGCAAATCATGATTTTCGACTGGCTAAGTGTGAAGCTTCAGATCTGAGAGATGAGTTGTGTGGGACTATTTTGGACATTGTGATTAAGAAGGGTGATATAGGTGGCGTTTGGGGAAATGGATAACCTCGGAAGGAGGCTATCCGATGGCTACAACAGCCATGGAATGGCTGAGAAAGAGGAGTAGCAACGAAGAGACAAACTTCAGCCAGAGAGGGAGCTCTCAAGCGTAGGGTAAAAAGGGATTTGCTAGAGAGAAGATGAAAAGAAATTTTGTTAGAACTTTGCTTTTATTAATTAAGGCGTTTTTAATTTTTAATATATTTTCTTTAAAAAAAAATTTAAGTGGCGCGCATATGTCCCGCTCAGTAAGTGCATTCGGGACCGAATATTGATAATTTAACACACCACAATAATCAAAATAGAGAATTAGAGACCGAAAAAAAGTCTTGTGCCTGTAAGTATATATTTAGGGACTAGATTTTCTGCCCATCCCTAAATGTTGGTCGCTAGTAAGCCTTTTTCTTGTAGTATAGATGTCCAAGATTATTTGTCAATTTAAACAATCAAGAAATAATTAGTCACTTTTTTCCAATTATGCCCTTAATGATTGTACCACATAGACGGGCCTAAGGTTCTCTTTTATAGATATACTAGACTAGAAGCTTAAGTTAATCTCAAATTAAATGAATAATTTTTTCAAACTCATAATTTTATATTAATCCAATTTCACAACAATATTAAAGCATCTATTGGTTGCTAATCGAACTTGCACTTAAATACTATATATAAGCAGATTTCTAAATTCAATGAAGTTAGTCCAGTTATATTACAGTTTTCCAGAAAAAGACTTGAAACTTTAAAACTGAGCAGGGTCGAACACAAAACCTCAAGTAACATTACCTTTGTTTCTTATAGTCAAGCGTCTTAAGTTCCTTTTCTATTTTACATGGCATATCTGTCTCAGTGTTCCTTGTTCAAGAACTAATTAAGAGAAAAGAATCTGGCTTGGTAAATAGATGTAACTCATACACTTGCATCTTTCCATAGTTCCGTTAAACGATCTTGTAGTGCATATTTTGCACCTTCCAATGGTATCATATGTTAACAGCACAGTTCTGAAAATATGGGAATATTCATATACTGTGCATATTATATCTTTAATATCTTGCCTTCACTCTCAAATGTTGATTTCCTACCTTTGTTAGGCTGGTCGACCAGTCCTGTGCGTACAGGCAGAAGGGACAGTAAGGAGTCATTCTTTGATAAGGCGATGGCTGAAATTCCACAACCAAATGGGAATATCATTGAAACTCTTAGACTATTTTCGCTCAGAGGATTTGATGAGAGGGAAACAGTGGCCCTCCTTGGTAATCTTTCTAATCCCGCTACTTTAATCTTCATTCACTGCACCTTTTTTGGAATATACATATTCTGAAATTCTATTATTTTTTCTTCTTTTATCGCACATAATATTGGGAGGATTGGTTGTCAATTTATTCGGCCCAGGCTCAGTAATTTCACGGG